TTGTACTTAATTCGTCACCAAGAACAATATCCTCGTTGAAAGTTGCGTGAGGAGTAAGGCTGATTATCCATTTCCATCCTTATTTTGATGTGCCATGCGGATGTAGGACCTGGAAATTCTTTGATGTATTGATCTGAAAACCTAGGAACCAGCCTTTTTCTGCCCTAGGTTCAAATTTACTTGGTTTTGGATGTATTAATTTGTATGTCCGACAGCCACAGCGTGGTATATTTCTAAGATCGATTTTGTCCATATGTGGCTGTCGTAAACCTTGTAGGAAATCGATGATTGGTATATTTTTTGTGCGTATGCAGTAAAGTCGGTTCAAGATGAAGCACGCACGTTGCAGTGCACACGGCTAGTAACATGGAGGCATATTAGCATCTATGAGCAATGATCTTGTTACTCTGAGAACTGCTTTGTTGGCCGCCTCGGATGGTCCGTTTTGCTCGGGCGTGTATGGTGCTGAGGTATCTATGCGGATGCCAAATTGTTCACAAAATTTTCGGGTTTTAGAGAATTCAGATCCTCCGTCTCTCAGTATTGCCCGAACACGTTTGTCATATTGATGGTGCATCACTTTGATCCACTGGACTAATATGAGAGCTATTTGATCCTTAGTCTTGGTGGTCAGTACCCAGCGCATGCGTGTTTTTGCATCAGTGATTATGACTGCATGCTGTTTTTTATCTATAGATACTGATAGTTTCCCTACGGTATCTACAAATATTTCATCTAATGGCTCATTAGGTGCTGGTCTGGGATCCCTTGATACAAATCTCTGAGCTTCGCTGAGATGGCATGTTTCGCATTGTTTAAGATCACTTGTGTCAATACCTTCAAGTCTTATGGTATGATTTATTGACTTTTTAAGGATGTTTTGTGCGATGTGACCTAATCTTTGATGCCAGCGCTGAGAATTAGTAGTTGTGGGTATCTGAGCCACACCTGGAGCTGCGGTGGTTTTGTTTGTGATTGTTTGGTAGTCAGATAGCGGGTTTATGTAATAGACGTCGTTTTGCAGTGTGAGACGCGCTATTGGTGTGTCTTGCTGATCAATGTTATGCTTGACTAATAGTATGTTGGAGTAGTCAGGGAATATTCCAGCTATTCTTTGCAATCTTCCAGCTGAAACTATACCAGAAGCTGATTTTGGTGAATAGAGGCAGTCATTTAGGAGGAGATTTAATTGTCCGATTTTGACTAGTGCACTCCCTTGCTTATTAAATGATGAGGTACCTACGGCTTGATCGAATCTAAAGGGCTTTTGTCGATTGACGAGATTACCAAACATTGACTCAAAGGGCAAGAAATGATGGGAGGCACCAGTATCATACAGTAAAGGAAGTTTATTGTGCGTCACTGAAGACGCAGCTATCCCATCTGTCATATTTAAACGACTTTCTTTACTGAACAGTCCATCAATGTACTCCTTGTGCTGCCGGTCATCTTCACTATCACTGACCTCAGCAGCCGCTTTCCCAATTCCAAGGCTTTCAATCTTCTTTTGTACGTTCTCCTTCCACCTATCACCTCTTGGCCCGACTGCAAGTTCTGGATGTTGTTTGAAGCAGTCTTTATTCTTGTGTATATGCAGGCATTTCTTGCATCTTGCATTAGGGTTAGGTGGCTTTGTATAGGATGCTGCACTTGCTGAATTAATTGGTGGTATGTTGAAGCCCGGTTGATGATTGTCAGCAGCTACTGTACGAAGCGATGACATCATGGCCCGAAGTGATATAGGGCGGTCAGTTGTGTCAATGGCCCGATTGTCTCTCCAGGAGCTTAGCCACGGGATATGAATTGTTCCTATTGAAAGGCTATGCTGAGCTGGAATGACGTACCGTTAGGATGAAGGTATGGAAGGAGGTAGCTATGGCTTTAAGAGAAGTAAAGTTCGTGAGTTATACTCTTAGGACTTGGATCAATGGACGAACTTGAGGATATTCCCTAGTATTCTCAAGTGTGTAAATAATATGGAGATTGTTTGAATTTCCTATTGTATGAATTGCTTAATTTATCTGCGTGACAGGACCTTCTTCTATATACATGAATAAGGGGGTTCTGCACACTAGTGGATGTTCCAACATCTGTCCTTGTCTAACTGAGAAAGGAAGGATGTGAGAGATCCTAGCGCCAATAGATACCATTAGGAATCTATTGGGAAATACTATGTCATACCAATGAGTGATGATTTAGGTCAATCATATCCCATGGCGCATGTGCACATTATTCTAATGTGAACAGTTTATTGTAATGCAGTCATGTTACTCCCTTAATTACAACAGTTCCAACAAGGAAGAATCCCGCAGCGGTAGCTTCTGGAATTGTACGATCAATCGGGACAGGATCTGTGGCACTGAGTGTTTCAGCAGCCGTGAGTATGTTCTGATATGCCGTCTGAAATTCATCACAGTACTTCTCGATTGAAGAAGTGAACTTGACTGCGTGAAATTGCTTCAGGGCGTCAATGTATATGGCCGAGGACGATTCTCTCCTTGACGAGGAGACGCTGTCGTACAGGGCTTTGGCGGACAGTCGAATATGGTCTCTTGGCCAGACTGTTTCGCTTAAGCGCTCGAGGATAATGTTGCGCGCTTCGGTCTCATGATTTTTTCATGTGAGTACTGCTCTTCGATGAGTACTCCATAAATTGTTCCAGTCGCTGTCGCCAATCCCTTCCTTGCGGACTGGATCAATTGGTCGAAATACTTGGTCAACATCCGGGTCATTGTGAATGACATGGCCAGATAGATCACGCTTGGCTAGACGAGCCCGGAGTGCTGCGTCCCATCGACTGAATGAGTCCGTTTCGCCGAGGATGATGAGGGGTGAGCTTTTGTACATTTTGTTATTTTGTGCGTTGGAAAGCGCCGGGTGCATAACCTGTCGTGGTTATGAGCTATGCGGAAGCCACATTGCGGAGTGATGAGGAGTGGATGATGTTATAGTTAGCTGTTGACAGTGAATAGACTCATACAATATTATGCTGTAGGTGTATGGACAGAAAGTATAAGACTAAACCTGTCAACTAACTATAACATCATCCACTCCTCATCACTCCGCAATGTGACTTCCGCATAGCTCATAACCACAACAATTCCAGCGATGAAATATCTGCCAAATGCTTCTCATTGAGGTACTAACAATATTTTGGTTAAGTCAACTTATCAAGTATTCTGGAGTCATCTTTCCATGTAAGTTATTTAAAACCTATGCCTCAAAAGAATGATTATTCCTGCCTTGCAGAATATTAGTAGTGGACAGTCCTTCATAGTCATAGACTCCATGAAAACTTAGATTTAATTCTATTCTGTTGGTAGTGGAACACTTGGGAGTCCTTGCATACTTACTGAGAGTTTAACATGAGTAAAGCACAGCTGAATCAGGTTACTTACAATGATTTGCATAAGTTTATCACATGTGCATTGTCAGACTACCTTTGGCTACACTTTACTGGATCATCTCAAGCCAGAGGGTCCAGAGGAACCTTTGTAGATGCCTCCAAGCGTAAAATTGTTATTAATAGCGACCAAACTCAGTCCAAAGCACTCTTTAATTCATCAATTTGATATTTCTCTCGACTTCAGCATCATTTATTACGTTTGGGTGTAGGTTCCATCAAGGGAGAGCATAGTCTTGTAGCCCATTCGAAACTGATTCTTAAGTCTCTTTTTCCCTTGTTGTAGCATATCATAATTTATCAGTAGGTTTTTCCATCTTGGGCACTATTCTAACTCGGAGCCCTTATCAATGGTCATGACTGTGAAGAAGGAGCGTTCAAACTAGAGCTCCATACTGAGGCACTGGAGTTTCGACCATGATTGAATACTTTGGTTGGGCTACTAACGACATTATTGTTGGTTTATCTAAGACTTAAAAGTAGATGTGTCATCATGTGGGGATCATATGATGACCTCAGCACAGATGCGCTAGTCAGAATCCACAGTAAAGCTGTGAATCCTCTACAGCGCAGTAGACAAGACAATTATGAAAATTTTAGACCAACACAGAATCGTACAACTCTTTACTGAATCATTACGATCGATCGTGAAACCACACCGTAGTAATTCCAACAATTATCTTGATTTTTTTCGGGATTCATCGGAGATCTAGTTGTTAATACCCTTGAAAAAAAGCGAGGACTTATTTGATGGCAGTACACTTCCCATAGTTTTACAACAAACACTGCTTCAAGAGGCTAGAGTTTATTCAAGTGTCGCGCATGTTAATTTTGACTTCTATACTTCTTTCGATGGTCTGTTGATGTTGACGTGACTCTGGAGAAAGATATGCAACGGGCTCAAGTTAAGCTAAATTGTGGGAAAATTAAGGCCGCTAGAAGTCTATTATTCATATAAGACTTTAGAGCAGGCTTGAGCTTATCTATATTTGGTATTTAACGTGAAAGTAATTTATTTATTTTATTTTTGCCATCGCATGATCTCTGCTACCCGCATTCTAGCATAAAGTTGAGCCAATGCCGTTCCTTTAGATCACCATCTTTTGGAGCGCTCACGAAATAATAGACAGTTTGTGAATAAGTCTTATCATTAAAGAATTATTCTACCCTCAAAATCGTTAAGGATACCACTAATAGGTGTTCAGCCTTAGTCCCCAATTAAAGGCCATATATTGGCGCTATATAGTTTAATATAAGTCAGATCCGAAAAATATACTAAATGAGCAGCTCTTTCGAGAGATACACCCGATTGTACTGCATGGTAAAATTCATGATAGTACTTGAAAGGTATTGCTACTAATGATAAATATTTTTGATGTACCAAGATAGGTTAGTCTCTCAAAACATATTTGCTTCGTTCTTGAGATATTACTTGGACGACAGTGCCTTAGTTTGGAATCCAATTCGTTGCTGGGAAGAGCTGTCCGAGCTTCAATTAATGGATATCAGCGACTACGATGCATACTTCACCGCTGTCCGATACCTCATTTTTTTGAGGGCGGTGAAAGAATGTTAGCATCACAGAAAAATTCCTTAGTTATGCCACATCTTCGAACCTCATGTCGACATCGTTTTCTCCATCGTCTTCAGCACCGTCGCTATCTTCGCCTGCCATGTCACCTTCTGTGGTAGGGGCGACAGTGTCTTCATAGCTGTCCATTCTGTTTTCAGCTTTTAATGACCATAGCGTTGCAAATTTGCCGCTCTTGGCTAGAGATGCTACTTTTTCAAGCACCTCACGTAGGTAAGCTTCTGGTTGTTGGAGTTCTGTTCGAAGAGCTTTCATAGACCAATAGTTATATTTTCGAAAGCATTCAAATATACGGTCCAAGAGTTCATTCTGAGGCATACGAGCCGTTTTCTGAGTCTGAGATCGTTGACCTGGGAGAGCGCTTTTGGTTTTCTGGACTTTGTTAATATTTCCTTCAGATAATATCTATGAATCTGGCATACAATAAAGCCTGAGAAAGTATTTTGGGCGCTGATTGAGCCAGGCTGAATAAAGCCTTTACGAGTAACGGAAAAGTCTTGCTTTAGAAATTTGGTGTGCATTTTTGGTTTCATAGCCTCAATAGTTCGCATAGCCAAGAGACGCTGAGCTTCTTCGTTATCTACAGTGATACAGTTTACCTCATGGGCTACTTTTCCAGCAATCGTTGTCTTTTCTAGCCGTGTGTCAGCAGGTTCTTCCTGCTTTCATGAGATTAACCAACTCGGTACAGCTTTCCTGAAATATGGTTGGAATCGCTTGTTAGGGTCATAAGGCCCCCTGGGATTCAATTTATCAACCTTTGGGCGCGTCAGCCTAGCCGGCATGTTTGCACTTTTTGGATCAAATTTCATCTGTGATCGTGACTTAAAGCCGGGAAGATCTTGTTCTGTGAATACAAATGTATTCTTAACTTTTTCTTCGGTTACATCCAAATTATATTCTTTCGGTATATTCTGGTGTTGCGCAAGATCTTTTCTCAATAGCATGTGTAACGAAAGCTCCAGTATCATCAGCACTTTCAGCAAAAAAATCTTTAGTAGCTATCCTACCTTGGGAACTCCTTTAGCGTTCTTTGTAGAGCACTGCCGAATAGTTCCTATTTGAATTTCCGACTCATCATCGAGGCCTTGCCATGCATCCCAAACGTATTTTGGTACTCTTGCGAGATACATGCGTTGGTAGGCAGAGTCTGTATTAAATTCGAGGTCACCTGCATCTTCGTAGATGTCATCTTCGCTGAGGGCTGCAGGGGAAGGCTTCGAATCAGGATCGGGCTTAATGTATGTATCGGCCATAGATTCAGCAGTAATTAGTCAGATGAGCCCATAATATGATTTTGTGAGTTATGTATTTGCTTCGTCATGATCAATGATTCAGATTACAGATTATTGGTACCAGGTTGACGCGAGTAAGCGAGATACGCGCTAAATACTAAGACATCATGACTGGCAATTACTTGGCCTTAGACAACGAGTTCAACTTATAAAACTTCATCGAATATTCAAACATGAGTTCCGAAGACCAAAACACACTTCTTAATCAAATAAGTCAGTTAGCAGGTAAGTTTGTATCGAATATCTTATTAATAGGAAGATGGTTGACATCGATCGGCCTAGGTCAGATCAATCGATACAAAAACGGCCAGATCCACAACGAGCAAATCCCCACGCCTCATTCTAAGCCTTATAGAGGTGCGAAATTATAACAAGAACGAAAAAAGATTTAAGACTGACCGGCCCAAGGCCACCTTCAATCAAGTGTATCATGGCGTCCCCAGCGCGGTAGCCATTCAAGAGGTGGTGGTCTGAACAAGCCAGGACAAGCCTATCGCAATCGATCCCTTGTACTTACAGGCAATAACTTAGTAAATCCAAAAACTTCAGAGGCAGATCAAAGTCTCGAAAATGTTGTTACTCCAAGTGCAGGAGTGAATTGGGTTTCCAAGACAGACCGTCACCGACAACTTATTAACGCGTCGATATTCAGCAAAGCAGCACAAAATCGCACGAAAGCTATGGAAGAGACAAGAAAACAAAAATTGAAGCAAAGACAAGAGCGCGAAAAGTCTAGGCTTCAAAAGTATCTTCAAAGAGAAGACCCAAGTAATATTTACGGTTCTTCCACTAGAGTAGTTCAAGGTGTAGGTAATCATGAAGTTAACGTGCAGGGTATTCGATTTCTCGTAGCAAAGAACGGTAGCAAACTTATTAAAATTCCTGGTGAGGTTTTAAACTCAAAATTTCCATCTTTAGATTTAATCTTCACGAATTAGTCACAGACTTACACTTGCCAGGTGATATCAACTTGGCAAAATCAACCCCTAAGGTTGCCAGTGTTGGCCCAGTCAAATTTTACCGAAGCAAAAATGGAAATATGTATCGGTCTGGTATTATTAAGGCTCATCGGTATGAAATTTCATCCCCAAGATTTGGTCTCTTAGACCTATACTAATCTACTCTGGTTTCAGGGCGACTGGTATAGTCAAAAAAATTGATGAACCGTGCAAAATATTTACTACTACGGGTACTCTAATCTTTTCAATATCTACAGGAATATTTTTCAGAGTGATGGCGCAAGCCGGTTTGACGCTAACGCTTTTTCGATTTAGGTTCCTGTCCTAAAGGTCCGAGATGTCGCTACATCCATGATCCCTCTAAAGTGGCCGTATGCAAAGAGTTTCTCTTAAAGGGTTCCTGTGCAAGTGGAGAATCCTGTGATTTGTCTCATGAGCTGACACCAGAGAGAACACCCTCGTGCCTGCACTTTACCAGAGGAAATTGTGCCAATCCGAACTGTCGCTATATCCACGTACGAGTTTCCCCATTAGCGCTAGTTTGTCGACCTTTTGGATTAAATGGGTATTGCGATAAAGGCTCTACCTGCACAGAACGCCATATCCACGAGTGTCCTGACTTCAGCAACACAGGTACATGTAACAACCGTGGTTGTAAGCTTCTCCATAGAGAGAAGGCGAGTGTCATGCGCAACCGAGCTTCACGTAGTAACGGCGAAGATATTGATGCTCCTACCAGTGATGTATCGAGCGATGAGGAGGAAATTGATAGCGATGACGTTGATTCAGATGATCTTGAAGAGTTCTTTGGTGATGATGACGGGGAATCGGACACTGACATTCCTATGCAACAGGACTTTGTCAATCTGTCATGACACCGCCAACTCTCTCTTGATCATACTGAAATCGCGTTACGCAGGCGGCACTAAAATTTTGCTTACTTCTCCCTTATGCATCACTAACTTGGCGTTGGGCACGATGTAATAAAGATCAGCACAGTACCGTAATCAGCAGAAAATATCTGCAGAGCCCTGCTCGGCGTTGAATAGATTGGGGGGAATGGGAAAAGTGACGGGCAAGGATGCTTAGATAATTAGAATTTCATGTTCATGAACTACGCTCGTTTTTGTTTAGCATAAGTATCTCCGAATCAACAACGATAATTGAAGGTCCTTATGATTGCCTGCGCGTAGAGATGTCGAGTTAAGATAATCTACAAGAGCTAGGTGCCGAAAATAATGATAGAGTTATACGTATAAAGGCGCCAATTAGGAAGCACAATGGCCGATGTCTACACTTCTGGTTGACATCTGTCTGTCTCAGCCATCCGTCATGCTCCTACTGGCTCTGAAGCGATCATGTGGCCCATCCGATTTAGCTGGTGCGAGCAGCCCGTGCATGCATTGCATGCACGTCTCACCGGACATGGAAGCCCATTCAGCCACATCAACTGAGGGGAAGGATGGATGGTCTAGTTGTCGGTCAGCCGACGGCGAGTCGGAGCGCGCGCACCGGGCTAGCTACAGTCAGCCGCCTCGTTTCCGCCGGCCAAGAGAACAATGGAGAAGCTCGCGAGTAGACGCGTAGGGATCAAAACGCGTCGTGAGTGCAGATCTCTCGTAATTCTCGATGAATAGGCTCATGGCACGCCTTCTCCCACTTTGAAGATGAGGCAGGTGTAGCGTCTCTCAAATAACTAGTAACACTACCTTTTACCCAGCGCACCCTGAAAGCCAATGGGTGTTGATGGGCAGTGTCCCTGACGAAACCGAGATAATCAGGATTCCCGTTGTGACCCTCTACGCGGCAGGAAACTCAGCTCTCGTGGCCGGTTTGCCTATTTAACTGAGCTCCGTCCATACTGAGCCGCCCTTGCGCACTGAAGCAGAACAATGGGTTATCTGTCCATCATTGATCTATCAACTCATCCAATTCGCCGCTTACAGCCGGGCTCCAGGCATCCTCATCCGAGAAGTCGGGGGATTTGTCTGGGAATCTTGCTATGACCACCGTCGTTTCGATGGACATCAGCGCCCTGATTTGTATATGCCAGACGATAGTCGGTCGAGCAAAGGTAACGGTACGGGTGTTCTCTGAATACTCCCTAACCCCGAAGTCGAAAACGTCTCTGTCGCGGAATGTAGCAAGCGCTACTAGGCTCGGGATAATATTACGTTAATGATGCGAAGTACGTCGACGCCCCACCCGCGATCCCTACAGATGGAGTATCGATAGGAGCGTCGATGTTCACTCACGTCTCCGCACAGTGCTACGGATTGTAGATCCGGAACATTGAATCAGGATGCTCCGAGAGGGATAGGGGCCTGTAATCTACAGAGTAGTGGAGAGCTGCGGGGCTAGGAGGCTGGATCTACACGCTGAAGCACTAGACAGTTATGAGAATACTTTGCGAATCATGGCATTCACAGACAATTCTCATTCCATTGTAAAGCCTGGGCCTTGCTCCTCGAAGCCCACCCCGTGGGTTAGATGAAGGATTGTCGATAGCTTTTCTCCGAATCATTGTTGGTCGTGGGAGAAATGAATATAGATCAAGTCTTGATGTTGTGGTATGAGGATAATTTGTATGGTAAATCGACTAGTTTCGACTAGAAGGAATCTACCCGCAAGGTCTTCAAGCTTCGTAGATTGAAGCGGAGACCGTGAGGGGGAAGTGATGCACTATTTTGTAGTCCGTCTGAGGTTAGTACTGTATTGGACCCATAATGCGGACAAGCCGAGAGCGGAATTATAGCAGTCGCTAGTGTTGTCAAGGCTTAGCCTTTGCTGATAGCGCTAATTTTAAATCTGTCCGCCGAGAGAGGACGCTGGGCCGGTAAAGGTCATCCTCACCGCCTCTAGTCTCACCTAGAGCTGGTGTATGTAAGAAATATGTTTACCTCCTAAGATCCTGATCGCAACCCTTAGGTTGACAAAAAATCCTAGGTAATTGAAAGATATGGCACAGAAAGAAGCGCCTGAGATGAGAGGGCGGAATTAAAAATAGGCACCATCACCCAGCAGATTTACCCGTGCACAAGATGGCCTAACGGTCATTGTGCGAGTGAATACATGAAATAGGCAGAGCTGCAGCTCTCCACATCGCCCTGCGGGCTGTCTCATTTTGCAGAATTGAATGGGAGAGAGCTGGAGGTGAAGGTGAAGTTTGGGATTTTGGCCGCTGTTCTGACCTTGGGGTGCAGGAGCAACATTAAGACCTGTCTTACCTCGAACTCATCTTCAAGGGAGGCAGACATGAGGTTTACGAAAGTGAGGATTGAATACCATACAGCAACCGGAAAGTTTTAGATTGCCTGACCCACATCGGATTTTTGGTTGGCCTTTACCGGGCCTATAGGCTCTAACTGACTGGGCGGTGAAGTTTATATTTCGCCTGCAGTGCCGTTCGCTGCATGAGCTATGAAATTCCCATCTAACGCTTGGACTTTGTGTAGAATACAAGGACCAGTTTGTAGCCGGGTACGAGTATATCTATTATCAAGCGAGCTGTTTAGAGGAGGTCGGGTACTTAAACCCATGAGGCCGCAGTACTTAACAATTTTAAAATGTGGGTGGGCAGCCGTCCTGGAAGTCCGGGGCTGGGCGTGACAAGAAAAAGAAATACCCTTAAAAATATGAAGATTAATCTAACTGAAGTTTGGTCCAAAAGTTGTGTACGCTGTGTTTAATTTACAGGTCTTGATGGTAAGTATGGAAAAATCCTAGACGGAACTGGGGCTGTCCCAAGTGAAAGATGAGGAATACTTGAGCACGCAATACACTCAACGCACTCTTCAAAAACAGAGTCGATCACATACATCCGTTCTGATTGCTAATAGTAGCAAATTTACTTTTCAATAGAACGCCGAATAAAATGTAAAGAGGAGCTAGGGGTATTTGAAGTATCGTAGATAACCAGCCATTGATTGGTCATATCTTGTGGTGCAATCCTTGTCCTTATGGCTGAGCCTAATTGGACGCCCCAGGCTAACAGCCGTGGTCGTAAAAACCACTTTATTTCGTACCTGGATCTAGTACCCATTAAGCGTCTAAGCCACGCTTGATTAAAAGACGGAGACAAGGACCACATAGGCGGGACGGCCCAGGTGGGATGATTAGGCCGTGAGAGAGGGGCCATCCCTTGTCATCAGCAATAGGTATACCTAGCACATGAATTGTCGGGGCTTGAAGCCATGTTTGGAGCAACATCTGAGTTGATTCCTCCGATGCTTCAAATACCATTCGGGATAGCACATTCAGTGCTGAACAAAAAAGTTTACGGATCTACCACATTTACCTAAATATATCCCGTGAAAATCAGCAAGTGGAATACTGTAATCGAGTAAGTATTCAAGCTAAACTTGTGTGTAAGCAAGAGAGGGAAGAGTAAGACGGAGGACGGGGTAGAGGCAGAACCATTCTCACCCCTCCATGAGTTAGAGTCGCTACACACGCAAATTTCAGACCGCCGCCAACGAAAATCTTTCATGCCGTTTCGAAACACCACAACTTAGGAGCTCACATTGCTTCTTAACTTGAAGTCTTATGGCTTCCTTTCAAGTCTACAGCTTTCGCCCGTCGTCATTAACTGGGGACACACATGCACCAAACCAGTTTGAAGAAGATGAAGTGAGCATCTTAGACGAGAGTGTTTTCGACCCGAACTCGTTTGAGCCTGGCTTAGATTTATCACCACTTGTGAGTGATACTCGGCGAGAATCTCTAGCACTATCAGTAGCCCCTATGTTTTCGCCCAAGGTCGAGAACTGGCAGCATCTCGATACACAGCCAGCGTTATCCTCCAATAATCCTTTTATAGAGCATAAACTTAATAACAACAGTAACGGTTTCCACGATATTCACGGCCATGAAAACAACCCATTTATGCGTCTCGAATCACACCCGTCAATATTCACACATCCTGGCTCTTGGTCTTTAGGAAATGGATCGAGGATGGGCACTCCCATGCCAGTACATGGTCGTGATTATTTCTCATCTGCTAGTGATAATGATGGTGGTCTCATGATCCCGCGCTTGACAGCATCCACTTTCTCACCATTAGAAATTCAACAAACTCCTCTTTTTCCCTCTGGAAACGGTAGTGAATCAATTCCACCATCGCCTCAAAAAGAATGGTCATTTCCAGACGTAATGGACCACCATATACTGCCCAAGCGTACGCGACAATTTAGTCCCACCACGCGTTCGCATTCCGATTTTCATCGTAGAGGGGATGGCGTTCGGAAAAAGAACGCGCGATTTGATATCCCGGCCGAGCGAAACTTAGCAAACATTGATCAATTAATTGCTCAATCAACCGATGAACAGGAGGTGAAGGAACTTAAGCAACAAAAGCGTCTGTTGAGAAATAGACAGGCCGCGTATGTCTTCCTATAGCTAGCGTTGGATCACATAGTATTTCCTCGGCCTGCTGATTTTTTTACAGTCTTGATTCGCGTCAACGAAAGAAGCAACACACAGAACGCCTAGAAGACGAGAAAAAGCATTACACATCGCTAATAACCGATCTAGAAGAGGATCTAGCTGAAGCTAAACATACCATAAATAACTTACTTCGTAAACAAGCTCAATACCAGCAATTTCTTGAGAATATGCAGATGGAAAAAGAAGAGATGATCCGGAATCACACTATTGAGAGCGGCGACTTGCGGAAAAAAGTCAGCGTGCTCACAGAACATCTTCAGCGAATGGAGGTGACGGGCATACCTGCCCAAAATTCGTCCTCATGCCTGGAATCTAACTATGCTGATATCGATAGTTTGACGACTGATGGAGCGTGGGACAATATTTCTTTCCGGAATAATTTTGAGGCTGAGCCAGGCTTAAAGTCAGAGAACTTGCCTATCTCTAGCAAAAAGGTAGATTCACTCATCAATGACACGGAAAAACCTGCTGCTCAAGGCCTTCTCTTAATGTTACTTCTCTTTGGCGCGTTCGTTGCCTCAAAAGGATCGTCACCTAGTTTTCCTCAAATGTCTGATGATGTCCGTGCCGCTTCAGCCTCACTCCTCGAAGATATATTTCATGATGCTGGAGTAGCTGAATCCACCCGGAGCTCGTCTGCAGTTCATAATTCTCAATCTTCACCCCCGGAAAATTCCTGGCAAACCGCGCCGGTAATATCTGTCACGTCCAGTGAATCACAGAGTTTAACCCAATCTCGAATCTATAACCTTGCCGACTCACTTTCTCAGCCGACTGAGGAGCAAAAAAACGAACAGCTTTTCTCTTTATCTGCCGCTCAGTACAGTGGCCTTACATGTCAGGACTTTTTGAAAAATAAACCTCAGAAGTCTACATCACAAGGTCGAAGAAATCTCTGCGAAACTTTAGCAACTATGCGTAGAAATAACCAGAAAGAGACTGCAGCTGAAGTCTATACTCGCTCATTGCTCTGGGACCAGGTTCCCAGCGAAGTTGTTAGAAATTTTGCCAAGATGGTTTCTGATTGCAATTCCCAAAGCATTAAAAATGACTGCACACCTATTGACACAGCCTAGCGGCTTTTGTCAAATCAACTGCCAATTATGATAACTTTTTCTTTTTATACATCTAAGCGAGCGAGTATGCATGCGAGAGCGTTGATTTACAAGGTCTTCATCTGAAATTTATGTCTTTTTAGTTGCGAACAAGCCATACAGTGTGCTGGACAGGCTGAAAGAAAATATTTTCGTTAGTGGATCACAGCTGAACATAAAGCAGCTGATGGTCCAAATCCTGTTTTGTAAACTTGGCTGATAATTTCCTTTTGACTTTTTTTCAAAGCGTCTGAGCCATAATTTTGATCCTTATGGTAAAATCGTAGCATAAGGGTGCAAAGGAGATAACCAGATTTGTCTTCAAGGTGTTAGATTCAGCTTCTTATTCTCCAATTTCTGCAAGCATTACAGGAGCTTGGATTCAAAAAAATTCATGAGTCTGTACATGAGGTTAAGGTAGTTGCTCTTACGGGTCACATAATGCTGTCATATTTTTCCGCTCATTGTTTGAGCCATCAAAACTACGACTTTTGACGACACTGACGAATTCTAACGGAGATACGAAGAATGCACGCTAAACTTATCAGTCACTTACAATTTTAATTCCCGTCTAATTTTCTTCCCGCTTTCAAACGACTTGATGATCAGAAGATACACCGATAGGAAAGATGAGAGGATGTAGGGTACAGGAGGAATGAGGACAGTGGTTAGCGATATGAGACATTGTGTATGTGGTCAGGAACCAGATTAGGAAGTACATCTTGACACAGATAGAACCGTCCCGTGCGCGTGAGCGAGCCTAGTGCCATCCGAAACAAGATTTCCTCCGCAGGTAGTCTCACCATGAGCGACCATACCTTTGTCTCTGCACTTGCTGCGTTAGCCCTGTTAACCTTGCCTAACCTTTCTTTAACGTGTTCAATAGTTTGATACGGCTTCAACAACAAATTGAAAACGTGATCGGAAAATTTTTGATGTGGAAGAAAGGACAACGTGAATGGTAAATATTTTGTACTACAGATTAACTCGAAAATAATTGTGGCATAGCCATTTCACCCGCTGCCGAATGATATACTGCTTCGGGTTACCTCTACCATCCCTAAATGTTATATTACAGTTGAAAGCATTGCCGAGACACAAGTATCAGAATTGTAGAAGATTCCACCCAACCCTCGGCATCGGTGGGCTCAACACTAACAAATCTCTGAAGGCTTGATTTGGAACATGAATTATTTTTAGCGTAAATGCAAAGACAGGGGTAGACAAATAATTTTCACCTGCTCTAATATGACCCTGGAAAAAGACGAGACAAGCTATTGATACGGCTATCATAGCCATAGAAGGCCGTATCAAAAGCTTTCATCAAATACGAATAATCGTATAGGCAGAAGTGCAACCGATCAAGCCCATCGCACACACTCCGTGCAAATATAACATAAACTGTTGCAGTTGTAATCATAAACTCTCTACACCATAATTAACATTCCTAGCTGAATCGTTTGTATGACTTTACTTTTGAAACTCTGTTCGTTGTCGATAAGAGGATCACGTTAGATATTCTAATCCTGGGACACAGAATTTAAACTTACGTTCACAAATTAGATGCGATGACTTCGAAAACTGTTGTATGAATTCACATCACTATCTTTTGAAGTAGCATGAAGAACATAATTGTACTTGTGTTCTGCATCTAGTGTGAAGAGATGAGGGTAGGAATTGTGGTTACTACTTCACCTGAAATTTAACAGAGAAAAATTATTATTTTGCCGCGAGATTTTAAGCTGGACATCTTGCTGTTTGTAAATCTTAGGGTACGTCTGGCTTATTTATTTTTGTAGTCTAAAATAGAAAACTAAAAGTATCGAATTTATTCCGACTAGGACAAGCATGATGTTCCTACCTCAACCTGAGCCCCAATAACAGGGCTCGATGGTGCCTGGGATTTACCATATTCCTTATTGTTGTAGCGTGGAAGTATATTAATAGGAAGAGATCTAGGTCACGACTTAGTGGCCTTAACCGGATTGTATTTATCTTTCCAGATCCTGAAGAATAGATAAAACAATTATTAGCTGTTGCACATTGAAGACTCTCGATAAGACTGTTTTTTCTATTCAAGTCAAAGTGAAAAGTACTTCAAATTTGAATATTGTGCATGAGTGTCTTACAAGAAGTAATATGTGCTTTGAATAAGGCGATAAATTTTAAAGTACTAACCAGGAGTTTCCCATTATTTTATTACCTTCTCGTTCAGCAAGTCTATAATACTTGGCTGCGGCGAACTAATTAAATTAGGGTTAGCTTATACTTGTGAGGATAGTATATTTTCCACGGCGTATTTACAATGATTTGATGTAGTTCGGGTTAGGAATTTCTTCTGAGTTAGAATAAAATCTCAATGAACATGAGGAATCATGGGCATGAATCAAATACATGATCTTTTGTTACTTTGAATAGTATTTTACTCGGAACGCCAGAATTGTGCAATAAGCATACCTTGTCTTTTTTACACCCGAAGCCGTCGAGATAACAACGGGCTACTTCATTCATGGCATCTTTCAAATTGTCAGTTGATTATTAGACATAAGATTATCGTTAGTCACATACCCGCATCGCCAAGATTGGCAGCTGTCTCGTAATACTAGAAGAGAAAGTTAGCATGTTATCCTAATTTTTTGAAGTTTTAGTGATGACCTCACTTGCTTAGCTGCGACTTTATCTGTTTGTACACCCCATCCATGGCGAAAGCAGTTTGCCAGCTCATATATTGCAAGTACTAGCTCACCCTTAGCTGCACCGCCTCGATTGATTCCTGCTTGTAATGCTAAGTCTTCAATGAGTGCAGAGTTAGCAGCGGCGGCTGATAGGTATTTGACTGCTTCTTCAGGGTTTGGAGTACATCCCCAACCGTGCCTAGTTTGAGTGAGTTTAGAAGATCAACAAGAGATTAATCGAAAAACATGGATGAATAAGTCAATATCTTATTAGAATGTATACTAGATAAAGTGAATATCCTTGGAAAATACATACCGGAGAGAAAGTCCGTAAAGAACCTGACTTAAAGCATTGTTCTCCCCAGAAGGATCAGCAAGCCGGCCGAACATAATTGTCGACGTTCCAAGTTCTCCTGCTTCGTGGAGCCTAATGGCTTCTTGGAGACTGTCGTCAACATTCTTGGGTTGTAATCCTGCTTGGCCACTTCTAGTAGCTTCTTTAATAGGTGTGAAATGAGGTAATAAATTATGTTTACTCGCGGGTGATATAGGTCTACTTTGTGCTTCATGGTTCAGCTTGGCCATACTGGTGGCGCGTTTTTCCCACTCTACCTCATGAACGGGTCCTTTATCTTCAACATTCTCAACAACTTTTCCATTATTTGGCACTTTCTTCAGTACCCGCTTTGGGGTCTTGTCTCTCTTCAATTCTAGCCACGATGACAACCTCCGAGAGATCGAGATCCTAGACTTGTGAGATGGATCGGATGGTTTCGGCATATGATAGACTCGATTGATAGAGCACCACTTTTTCAAAAGATATATTCGGGTTTTCTTGGGCCTACCATTCTTGGTAGTTGGAAGAAGTTGTTCGTCAGTAGTAGGGGAGTTTGGAGGGAATATTATCTCTTGCGTATTTGTATCGGTGCGCACGAATAAAACCGGAATCGTTAGAGGGTCTTCAACAATTCTTCTGTCCAAGTTTTCCTTCTTCTTCAAGATTTGTCGCAGTGGCATAGTAGATAGGCCTGCGGGCTCCAACAAAAATCTATTATCATAGATGAATTATTACAATTTGGACGTAGAAGATATTTGAGGAAATCTACGGTAGTTACTGATTGACATTTGGATCATGGGCTACAAGCACATGCTTTCACAGGGGCTAGTCAGCTTGTCCAAGGTTTATTCTGTCACTCTCGCGTCGGTGAGAATTGTATGAGAATTCGCACAGATGATCTTCACGCTTTAGCATACTGTCTGTTAGAGGGAGAGCACATTGGAAGGCAAATATTACGTGGCATGTACAAAGTTTTGCTAAGAGGTCTGGGTGTTCGATCGTCCCAAACACTCACGAGAGATGGTAGGTCTTGTTTCTGCAGGTTATGATCATACCAGCGAGTTTCATTATGTCGCGGTGGTAGTTACCTACAATTTTCACCGTCTAACGTTACGAAAATCTCCATAGTTTTTCTATCAGACATTCCTTCGTATCTGTCTCAGATTCCTTTCCCGTAAATATCACCTTCGGTATCCGAAACTCTATGACAGGGATCTTTTTGATTTCTTTAGAATTTTCTGCTTCTAACATCTTGGTTTAAATTAGCTCGCCCCTTGCAAAATGAGTTGAATATAAACCTACACTTCCGTAAGAATGATCGAGGAAATCTTCCATATTATATGATTGCTTGGTAAACTGCTCTGAAATTATCTTCGCTAAAGTGGCTATGTTTGGATGATAGTGTGATTGAAGCATTGATATTTCCCATAGGCTACTTTCGATTGCATTTGTTTCCATGGGGTCTTCCTGTTCCATTTTGAATGGATCATTAGCACCATCCATTTCAATTTTCTTCCTTGTTGCTGAATCTCTTATTTCTCTGTGGATCATAAAAGTACATGTTGGATGTCTTTTGAGAAGGTTGTACACCCAAGGGATAACGGCAACGATTCCAGATGGCGGAGCTGCTAATGCCAGTCTAGAAATTCTTTTTAAAAAGCTGGCTACTAAAGATGAAGGTAAATGAGTTGATCCCAGAAAAGTGTCAAGAAGCCGAAAAAAATTTGATCGATGCTTTGAATGTAGTATTTCACTGTCAAGCAATGAATAGAGTTTCTTGTAGAACAACGGATAATCTAAATTTTTTTGCTGAATCAGGTAAAAGACGCCAGATAATGCCAATAAAGACGTCGAGCCACCTGCGTCATAGCAGTCTGTTAAAAAATCCATTAGTAGCTCCGGTTTGTTGAACCAAGGTGCAATCGAATCGGCCATCAGTTTCAATATAATCTTTCTCTGATTTTTATCTACACCAAGCCGCATGAGAGCCAGCCATGTAGCTTGGGATCGTTTTTTGTGCTGGGTAAGAGAGTATAATGCGTGAGTAGCATTTGGAGGTTTAGATATGTAAAAACTCTTTAACTCTTCATTTGATTCAGGGACAGACTGTACAGATGTCAGAATCTCTAAGCAATTCTCTACAACTATTTTGGAATGAAGTTGTTCTGGTTCTCCCTTCAATATCTTTCTGATGGGTTATTAGGAATGCTGTTGGTGATGGGATAGGTGCTTACTCTATAGCCTCAAATGTGTAAAACCTTATATCGTCATACACATCCACATAGTTCTGAGCGAACTCATTTCTCACATTATTGAACTCTCCAGTATTAACCAATACTCGCACAACAGCATGCAGAGAAGGCGTTGGAAACTCATAGTCAGTGCTGGTACTGGAGTTTTGCCCTTCAGTCTTTAATAATTTCATACATATATTTAACGCTGTTGATGATAACTCGTCATCGGAAAGTAAATGAGTGAGGATTTTCTTGTACTTTAGGTATTGATCTTTGAGCCACTTGACTACAACTGTTGCTTTCTCTGATGTCTTCTGTTGTTTCGACATGCTTCCAGTTACCAAAAGTCGCGTAAAGATTCTACATAATGAGACCGCAGCGAGTAGTGCAGAGTCAAGGTCTCTTTCAGTAGATCCGAAGATTTGGATCAATGTTGCTATGCTGTTATAGTTTTTTTTGGATGCGAGTATATCTCTCTCCAATAGTAGTATACGATCCTGCTCATCTTCGGTTTGGATTTCACTGCTATCCGATCTGACACGTTTAGATAATTCTTGGTCTGTAGATGGTCTTTTTCTCTTGAAAGGTCTACTTTCGATTCTTCCACTTGAATGCATTCTGTTGGTGTCAAGGTGATTGGTGTTGGTAGTGGGACAGTGCCCATTATTTGCCGAAAATACCACGGCATAATAATTTTCCGTTCAAATTGGCCAAGACAGACGTTCTTCCTTCCCAAGCATCCGACCACGATTGTGACTACGAGAGTCTAAAGCAATATTTTGAAAAATTATGACATTCCGCTTAGCTAGAAGTCTTGTAGGTATGTAAACTTTGAATTTTATTTACTGGTAAATAGATCATAAATACATCTAACGTGATTTAAGGCGCTGCCCGTCTGCGACCAGCGCTCTCTGCACAAAGTTTACCAGCGCTCAATATATCACTCACAAGTCACAGGCCTTTTTCGGGTGTCCCTTCGGAAGATCCGAAGAAGAAGGCTCAGTCGATTCTGGATACGTTGCCTGGAAATTCGTTAATCTCCAAGACAGCAATTCTCTCGACAACTGCAGGTGTCGCAATTTATGCACTTAGTAATGAGTACTACGTAGCTAATGAAGAGACTGTTGTTGCATTTTGCCTATTGAGTATCTGGACTGCTGTCTTCAAGTTCGGAGGACCCATGTATAAGGAATGGGCAGAAAGTCAAATTAACAAGATCAAGAATATTCTCAACTCCGCTCGGGCTGACCATACAGAAGCTGTCAAGAGCAGGATTGAAAGTGTGAAGCAACTCGGGGGTGTTGTGGACATTACTAAGACCCTCTTTGAAGTCTCAAAGGTGCCTCTTTCAGTCTTGAAAAACAATTCATACTTACATTGACAGGAAACTGCCAAACTTGAAGCTCAGGCATTCGAACTTGAACAGAAAACTGCACTCGCTGCTGAAGCCAAGGCTGTACTTGATTCATGGATAAGATACGAGGGACAAGTAAAATTACGAGAACAAAAAGAATTATCTGAGAAAGTAATTGCAAATGTTAAGAAAGAGCTCCAAAATCCCAAAGTTCTCCAGCAGATTTTGCAGCAAAGCGTTTTGGACGTCGAAAGTATGACCACCCACGTAATTCTAAGTCATCCAGCTAATTTTTACTTCAGGAATCGTACAGTCAAAGGCACAATAGTTAAACACTAAAATTTCTGTAAAAATCCTTTCCACCGTGTAGACATCTACCCCTTACACTTTAGTTCTGGTACCAAATATAAGTTTTTAAAGAAATAAAAAATAAGACCTAACTTCAAGGGCGCCACTAAATGACCTGATCCAATTCTGTATGATTAAGAATTCAAAATATGTTATACTATTAAATATAATTTTATATTTACTGATACCACGTGACTCTAATTTAGATTTGATGCAAACGCTCTACAAACATACTTCTAGCTTGCTCACGTACAAGGGACGCTGGTCAAATACAGCGATCCACTCCTAACAGGGTATTCGTGAACTCTGACATCGCTAGCTGTAGAGTAAGTGGTCACAAGATGGATAAATCTAGTTCTCTTTTTTTAACACTTGACGAGTATTCAGCTTTCTAGCCATGACACATGATCGGTGCCACCATTCCTGACAATTTTCAAATAGGCCTTAATTCCCCTTCTTTCCCCTCTTCCGCTTTTTACATACCCTTGAAATATCTAGATCAAGCTTCCGGCTAATTTTCATGCCAGCTGTTTGAAAAAAAGCGTCTCAGCGCCATATTGGACAACACGAGAGTCCGCCCAAGGGCTCCCAATCAAACACCGGGCCTCGCCCAGTGTCCAAGATGAGTGGAGATGGACAAGGCCTCAGGAAAAGCGAAGGCAAAAGCCCTTTCCATTGTCTCTGCGCCCGATACTGACATTATCGGGCCAATTGAAATTGTTGAGGAAATTCCTCAACCAGCCTCCGTCCCCCACGGGATTGGAGAATCGTCCAAACCTCCTCCGACCATCTCAAAACCATCGGAAAACGCTGCACCCACAACAGCGTCAACATCAACGTCGCAGCCAAAAGCTGCCACGAAAGCAGAGTGTCCCCTCGAGCCCCGACCAATAGTCGAAGCTGAACAACGACGCGCCGCCGAAATAGCGGCAAATCTGGCCCTCTGCTCCGCCGCCATCTCTGGCGTCGAAGTTACTCTCCTCCCGTTGACCAATGGGTCAAACAGATAATTCGTAGATTCGATGAGAGTCTACCTACGCGCTACCATTGAGCAATACATGACCTAGGGCCCGGCCTCTATGCTACCCGTCCTTCCTCCCCGCCCGACGAAATCTCTCCCAAGGGCTCCCGACGTCAGGAGCCAAACCATACCCGCCGTCTCAGTGCTACCTTTGAAAAGTACCTGGGCCCCGGTGGTCAGAAACGTACGGCGACAAACGACAGTCCCTACTGTTAAGGCTATGCCGCGATTTACGGCAAAAGCTCAACATAAAGAAGCTCCCAAGGCGAAAGTCGACAAGCGATTATTCCTTCGCCTTGAAGAGGACCACTCGTGGCGAAAACTTCCACCAATATCATGAGAAGCAATGTAGAGAGTACATCAAGCTACTTTTAACATAACACAACCTCGTTTCATCGAGTGAAGACCGGCTTTTCTATGTTAGTAAAAAACTAAAAAATACGATAAGAGATACTAGATGCCTCTTCAAAGCTGGCGAGTGTTAACACTAAACTCGAAGTATCTTTGGATCTTGTCGCCTTACATATACAGAACGTAACTGTAAGTATAATTACAGAGCGCGGCCCCAAACCGGCCGATGGTGAGCGGGTCTCCCTCGCGATCGCTTTTACGACTGGCGTGACACCAATTTAGGACCGACCTCATGGGACGTGTCTGCCTAGATAACTTCATCGAAACTGACATGCCCTTTTCCAACGGGATTCTGCCCCTTCGACAATTCTGATATGGCTACCATCCACAAGCCTCGTCGACCAATCAAACAGTGCAAACGCTGTTTGGGCTTCCACGCCACTCTCGGCTGCTCCCACGCTCTAGCATGCTAGAACTGCGGATCTAATATGCACTCTGTTTCAGAGTGCAAGGCTCTCACACGTAGTCGCAACTGTGGGGGACCTTACAGAGCGGGTCACCGAGACTGCCAAGCCAGACCCAGATAGTCCGGACCGATGATCAAAGAACAGCTCGCATGGATTCGTAATATCAAGCAAGACAGGGTCGCGGAGGTGGCATGAGCTCGGGCTGCAGCTAAAAGGGCCAAAAAGGCGATCATCGCCTCAGTGAAGGATGTCTCGATCGCCGAGGGAGCAGGTTTCGGAGTGCTAGAATCTGAAGAATAAGCTTGAAGATACAGCGATCTCGACGATGTCCCTTTTGGGACATTTACCAATCAACAGCAGGATACCGGCTGGATCAAAGGTGCCTGCTAGCCCATCTTTTGCTCTCAGCGGAAATTGAGTAGATTTGTCATCTGAAAGGTATGAAGGGCGTGGAAATGTGCAAGGAGCGGATTGCTTGGGTCCCATAGGGGGAAATCCTCTGATTTTCGTGATTTTTCGTTTCTGTTTCATGAGCTGCATCTTTGACAGCGATGCAGGAGGTTAGAACGAGTTAGACTGTAGGAAAAAATTACAGGGAATCTTGCCAGCTCCATTGGTCCTACACCCATAGTGAACATAGTGCTTTATCTTAGGACCTATTGTTTTAAGAAAAATAAAAACCCAATTCGAGAAATTTGAGAAATTCCCTTTTTCCACCCCTTAAAATCACATATCTAATATCTAAATATGAATCTCTCGTGGTACCGCGCCACTCAGCCTTAAAATGGCACCTGTAGCCCCAAGATCCATGAAAAACGCAAAAACTGGGCTAACCACAAAAATTGGGAATCACAACCAACAAACGTATCTGAAGACGCAACAGAATATGCTGTGGAAAGCAAGAAACGGGACAAATAAAAGAAAGAGAGAAGACGACTGGCACTGAGCGCCTCCAGTCTTGACATGATGAAAGTCGACATTGTCGCGCAGATGTAAGAACAAGGTCAAACTGACATTGAGATGTCCAAGGTCGAAATCATAATTGAGGTCATGTTCAATAAGGGTCTAAAGGACTCGCGATGGGCTAGCGTATGAGCTGAGAGCTCCTAGAAGGCGTCGACCACACCAAAAAATGTCGTCGAGAAAGTGACCCTGCGAAAACAACGCTCGAATCCGCACGCGCTGCGGCTCGAAAAATTGTGGTTCCGTTAGTAAAGCGGATACCGACCGAGAGCACACCGAGGGGAACGGAAGTCCCCACCAACACAGAGGCAGCAAATATTGAAAGACTATGCTGAGCTGGAATGACGTTCCGTTAAGATGAAGGTATGGAAGGAGGTAACTGTGATAGAACCAAGCTGGCTGTGATGGAATTTGATGTATTCAACTAATTAAAGAAGGAAACTACTGCTACTAAAGAAGGTTACTTATGATCCTTTATAACTCCTCCCTTCCATCACTATTCGATAGTCCTTTAACCAGACGTCATTTCATTCTCACTCATACATTACCTCATTCCAACTTGCACTTCATCTAAGATCTCTCCTTATGCGTCATTCCCAAGACTTAGAAATGATGTAACCACCTTGGATCTTGCTTAGGTGCTTGCAAAGGCCACAACACGGTCATCCCATAACAGTAACTATGGCTTTAGGAGAAGTGAAGTTCGTGAGTTACACTCATAGGACTTGGATCAATGGAAAAACGTGAGGATATTCCCTAGTGTTCTCAGGTGTGTGTGAATAATTTGGAGATCGTGTTAAATTAAATAACTGTTGGTCAAACATAATTATTCTTGCACCTGAACATCATGGAGTTATGGTTGTGATTATTGTTTACTTAGGAACATAATGAGTAAGGCGTTTGGAGATCTTATATACCCTGTATTAGTAGTTCCATATTAGCGTGTAGCGAGAGCTAGGTCGTAGTATTAGGAGAGAGTGCAGAAAAGTAGTCGCGATACACGCTCCGTATTCTATGTTAACCCAATACTTTATCAAATCTATTGTAATATCATAATATCTGTTGAAGTATTACATGATGTAATGAGAATTCCTTATGGTGTTGCTCTTATTTCGCCGTGTAACAATGAAGTTGGAAGTGCCAACTATTAACTGGGTCTAAATGTTATGTATATATAGACCTGCCTATATAGGAGAAAATAAAATAATCTGAAATTTACAATAAAATCTACTGCCAGTAGTCCTATATCAGTTGTCTAAGAGAATCATATTCTAATAGATTGTTTAAATATCTTTTTGTTTGAGTTGCTTATATTATCTGCGTTAAAAGACCTTCCTCTATATACATGAATAAGGGGGTTTCTGCACACTAGTGGATGCTCCAACATATCTCCTTGTCCAACCGAGAAAGGAATAATGTGAGAGATCCTAGCGCCAGTAGATACCATTAGGAATCTATTGAGAAATACTATGTCATACCAATGAGTGATGATCTAGGTCAATCATATCTCATGGCGCATGTGCACATTATTCTATAGTGAACAGTTTATTGTAATGCAGTCATGTTACTCCCCTAATTACATCAGCAAATGCTTCCAGACCTCCGCCACCCCCGACCGCGATTCCAGGGGCAGCTAAGCTCAACAACCACTCTTCTAGTAGTGCTTCCATCGGTACAACATGAGAACATCCGGCGGAAATCGAAGCTTTGCTGAATGCCGAAAGGAATCGGGTTGCAAACGCCTCCGCCAGGCTCAAAATATGCTAGACGGTGTTGAGCACATTGGAAAGCGTTATCCTGTCACTAAGAACGAAAGATGACAAGGAATACTTGGACACGATGAAAATATGCCTAAGGGGTGTCAGGATGAAGGTCATAGGATAGATTGACGAGGTCTAGTCTGGTGATTGAGATTGTCTACAAAGAGGAAAGGTGGCTCCAATTGAGTATTATAAATATATATACATCGTGAATCGCGCTTCAGACGAGTGATAGCACGTGGCCATACGATACCGCAATCCACTCCATCCCTTGACATATGGTCCCGCCTTTCTCCAAATTCCTTAAATCTTAGATGCGATTTTCGTTACGGAGGATTTGGCTTGTCTTCTTGTAGTTTCAAACTCTTGCAATGATGGTTTAGGTTTATGTGGAAAGCTCCGTTCAAATTCTTTTATG